ATGACTTTCATCAACAGAAAAAGAAACGGCAAGTTTCCCGGCCGAAAGAAGAGGGAAACGAATGGGATAAGACCCATGAGAACTGAGATGAGTGAGACAACGATTCACTACTGGGTCTATATCGTTCTCATCTTTCTGACCTTCTCTCTGATATGCTATATCACTTGGCTTCTCTTTGGCCTAAGCTTCTTTTTGAAGATAGGTTTATCTATCGGGGGTCGAGCCCTCTCCTTTGCTTTAGTCAAGTGTGGCCTCTCGGGGGGACTTGCCTGGGCAATAGGATGTGTTTTGCGAGCACTATTCAGTGCCGAGGAAATGCCTCTTTGGATGTATCCATCTGGGGCTGATGCTGGCTCAGGATCAGGTGATGGCGCGGGAGGAAGGGGCTTTAGGTGGACCGATTTATTTGGAAAGAGTTCCACTGGTAATTCCGAGACCGGCGGAAACTCAGTGAGCTCTTCCGAGCCGAGCATAAATAAACCAGCGCCCCACTCCCCAGAGCCTGTTGCTCCTGAGGTTGATCGAGGTAGGCCCCTCATTCCTGAGGATGAGAATGACAACCACTTGATGCCTGCTCAAGCGCGTATGGAAGAGTTGGCCCATCGCCTCTCAATCAATTCCATTCAGAAAAACTTGAGCCGCGAGGAATGGGGAAGCATTATTACTGCACAGATTGTGGTGGAGGAAAGCATCGAAGCCGCTTTAGTTTACGATGGCTATCCCGCCGCTGCTATTTTGGCCAAACGTCACCAGATACGGGGCTTTATGTTTTATCCAGGAGGGACTTCTTTGACCGAGAAAACATATGTAGGCTATGTGAGAAGTATCGACAACTTGGGTACTCACGCCTCTGTTCCATACAAGCGAGTCATCCAAGCGATACGGCAACATAATTTATCCCTTTAAGGGGCCCTTATACTACTAACGGCCGCACTGTTCCGCTTTCTTGTTTTGTTCCATTCTAGAAAAACAGAGGTAGACAGAACTACTAGGGCTTGATTCCGTTACTTAAGTGAAAGCGGATATGTAGGCAAGTACAATACTATACTCAGTTGTACCCCAGCCCCACAGGTGTATAAGCATGAAGTGAAGATGAAGTAAGCATGTCCGCAAAGACTACTCGCTCGCGGTATACTTTTCTAGCTTGATTGCTGGCTCTAAGCCTACCTCCTTGCTACACGATTAGTCAAGCTAAAAAAGATGAATTCTCCGAAAGGGACCTATCTTAGTTTAATTATGTCCATCGATCGAAAAAATGCAGGACATAAGAGTAACGTGTGTTCCAGAGTGTCAACTTAACAATTACAATACAAAAGGGTGGAACGTTGATACCCCTAAAGTATAGAGAGGGCGGTGAAGCTTTGGTAGAAAGGTAAGATAAAGCCGCTTCCTAAGTCACTCAGGTATGGCTTTGGTTAAGTAAATTGACTCCATCTTCATCAATAGCCGACGGTAGGCATAATCTGCGTGATTAAAGTCTTTCGTGCATCACCTCAGTGATGCTCTTCGCAAGATCTTTTTAAAAAGTTACTAGAACTATTTCCTTATATTATTAAAGGGTCTCGTTCTGCCGTTTTTCAAGGTGTAAAAAGTCTTATCTAGCTAGATCCTAAGATATCGATCCACGGCTTAGTAATCCGCAGACACTTCATACGAAGCCGAATCCTGCTGAATCAGGAGAATCCACTGATCCAGGTAGGTGAGGGAATTCAGAAGACCGGTTTACTAAGCTTTTTCAACAGGACAAAAAAGTGGAATCGACTTCTATTTATGCCTTTTTTTCTTGCATCGTTCAGAGCGCCAGCCAAATGCATGACCCAGTGGTGGTCTTCTTCTACCTCAGTGATGTACATCATGTGCTCATCTATCAGGGAATTCTTCTCGAATAAAACCACGAATCACCAGAACAGAGATGGAAGAGTTCCGTTCCCGACGATTCCAATCTTTAATAATCTTATGTCGAACTGAGATCCAGTGAGATTTACAACAGAGAAACCTTTTCTAGGCAGGATTATTTTTCATGAATAAAGAAGAAAAGTTCTCACCTATCTCAAAAGGCGTTAAATGCTGCTTTGAAGGTCGATGGGGACTTTCCCACGGCTCGTTCTCGGATTTACCCTTGTTCGGATAAATCTGCCATAGTCTCAGAGCTGAGATAATGGACTGCTTTCCTCTGAGACTATGTGGTATCAGAGCGATTCGAGATCAATCAGAGGTGTGCCTGTGAGTGTGGGAGACTCGTTAAAAGAAACTCTTAAAGATGCTTGCTCCGTCAGTGTCAGACTGACGAGTTGGCCGTAGAGGATGCGGCCTGTCAGGAAGATCGGCTTTGGTGCCTATTATAAAAATCAAAATCAAACTTCCCTCGGGCAGCTATCTTTCTTAGTGCTACCCTATGGTCCACCACGTGATGAATCATGAGGGCGAGTTACCAGCGACCGTATGGTTTGTGGTACTCCTTGGATAAGTTTGGAACTGGGACCTGCACGAGGAGCCCAGGGGTTATGAGCCACTCCCGACACCTCCATTAGGAAGAAGAGGTCTTGCAGCAGCGGTAGCATATGTCGGAGGTTTGGAAGAAAGTATGAACGGGCTTTGCCCCCCTATTGGGGAACCTTCTCATCCCGATTCTGCCTTTGGAGCTATCTGAAAAGGTCATTTTCAAGTTTAGTTTTCTTACTGATTCGGCTCGCTACCTATAGAGCTTGGTGTCTTGATAGAGCAGCATCGTTACCAGATTGTTTTATATAAGGGGAATTGGCTTGAAGAGAAAGAAAGGCAGCCGGCTCGTAAACTCGTCTCTATAATATAAAAGGGCAAAGAAGAAGAGGGAAAGAGTGTAATGGGGACAATCTAAGGAAGAAACTAGAGCTCTGGAAGATAAAGAAAGAACGAAAGGAAAATGGAGTACTTGCCTTGGTTGTCGGAAGGAAAGTCCTGTCCAGTCTTGAACTAATCAACTACTCTACTCAACTCAGCAAGCAAAATACAAAGAAATCAAGTAAACAAACCCTATAGTAAATACAGTACATTCCAAAAAGGCTAAAGCCCTCTAACCGAGAAGTCAGTGCCGAAGTATTTAAGTTCCAACCGAAGTAAGAAGACCTCGAGGCGGGGAAGAGGAGTGAAAGCCACTCGCCCTACTCATACAAGTCAAGGAGAGGAGCGATGTAATTGAGCTCGTATTTCTATATAAATATCAGCTTAACCGGGCAAATGCAGAATCATCATAGGTAAGAAGCACAACACCATGTTCCCTCTTTCCTGTCGCAACTAGTCCCGTGAGCTAGGTCCACGGTTGCTACTTCTCTCGTCTCTGGAAAAGGGAAAAAAACGATTCTATATGGTCAGTCACTTCGGGCTACTTTTTGGGGATATAGCATGGGGCTTATGAATGGAAGGAAATCCCCTCTCCAAGTGTGTGACTCTTTAGGGGAAAATCCCGTCCTGTGGTCCTGAACAAACGTTCCATCCTGAAAAGAAAGCTCATCTCTTACTGGGAACGAGAGATCTAATACAACAAACAACAAAGACCTGAACTAGCAGCTCGCTCAATGCGCATTGAAAGCCATTATAATGAATGCCCTTTTTTAGCATCTTTGAATTGAACTTAGCCCTCTTCCTATCCTAAACCCCTAGAATCATAAGAAACAATTGATGGTTGATCCGGCAATTCTATTAAGTAATTAGTTAGTCTATCAAGCTGAAACTAGGACTTAGGAAGACTCAGGGAGGGCACCCCTTTTAGGGTACTCCATCGAATGGACCTATCCTCTACTCTTGGAAGTCTGGTTTGCGAGCTTGACTCCTGTTACTTGCCCGAATAGAGAAAAGCGTATTAGATAAAGTAGGTTTTTTCGCAGATAGAAGGAGGGCTATTCCCGCACCGAATCAGTACCAAAAAAAGAATGAATAAAAAAAGTATTATAATTTCGCTCTTTATCCTTAGGAAGGTGAGGAACTACTAAAGGAGACAGCTTTTAAGGCTTGTTGAAAGAACAGGTATTCCTACAGGTTTTGTTTTCACGGCTAGCGAAAAGGGAAAAAAACCCACATGGAAGGACTTAGCAATAGCAAAAAAGATGCTAAATAAAGAAAACGAAATATCTAGTTTCTCAAAGCATGCTGACTTGAACTTGCTTTCTCATACGAGAACAAAGCACTTTCACCGGCTGTTAGCTTTCCTTTCTCACTTATGATTCGGGGGAGCACTACAAAAAATGTAAGGCTGGCAATTGCCACTATAACTAAACTGGCTTTAACAGCTGAAGTCCCAAGAATCTTTCCCCTGGCTTTCCTTGTTAGCCTAAGATCCATCCTTTAAAAAGCGATTGCTGTTACGGGACTTTGAAATAAGTCACTTACTTTTGGTGTAAGAGACAGAGACAGGGGCTTAAGCTGGCTTAGACAGATAAACCCGCTGGTTCCTCTCAAGCTAAGATGCCTTCAATTCATACCCGGGTTTACTTTCAGCTCTGGTCTCATCAGTATTATAGACCGAAGGTTGTTGTCTTAGAAAGGATGCAACTAAGCCGCTTGAGAAAGTAGATAGAGAGAAGGGAGTGTTGATCCGGCAGTTTCAACACAGGTTCCTCTGTTATGGCTCGCTTGAGCCCAACTGGTTCGCATGGACACGCAACTGGAAATAGGATATGCTTCTTAACTGGTCTTGTTCAAAGTGAAACTATTTCAAGATCTTTTCAATCAGTTTTTTGATTCGTGTAAGATTCTTGGTACAGTTTTCCTGCTTGCTAATCAATAAAAACCAAGAGTTGTAATAAGGTGGTAAAGAAGGTCAGAACTGCCGGGTTCCCTGTAGGAAAGGGCGTAACCCCACTCTAAAAGTAGTTCGGTTCCCGGTTGAAAAAGCTCTTCACAATAGGAGCAAAAATAAGAATTGTCAAGGTTGTCGGCATATCTGCACCCGGCTCAGCTCAAGGTGCAATCCAAGCAAAGTTAGAAGAGCAGGCGAAAGCAAGGTGCGAAGCACTAGTGACATCCTCAAGGCAACGAGTTATGAGCTCCTAACGGGTAGGAAAACAGAGAATAGAAGAAGCTGCAATTGCTCCTGTTGAATGAGTTTCAGTTGGAAGAGGGGGCATTAGCGGTTTAGGAATCGATCTAGCTGCTTCTCCTAGAGATGGAGATGCGGCATAACCGTATGAACCGTACTCGTCTGCTTCCTAGGTACCTTCCATCGTTGACCTCTATACCTCTTCAGGGTATTGGCTTCGATTCTGGCAGAAGCGGGATGGCACACGACCTTTTATGTTAGGTTAGGGTCCAAGGGAACGACCATACCGAGGGATAGATACTTGGAAAACCAATAGAAAGGTGCGAGACTATATCCACATCGATTCAAATCATTAAGTGTTAGTTTTGATGACAAAACTCTTACCTGGCGTGTCGAAAAGGTGAGGGTGCTCCTCCCGCATCTTCTCCTCAAGTTCCCATGTAGCTTCGCGCTCGGAATGATTCCTACACGACGTATGGAATTGTGCGCGTCCTTAGTACCTGATCCTTTCTGTCAACAATCTTCTCCGGGCGTTCTTCATAAGTTAATTTATTATCTACAACCATATCCTCTATCAACCAGATATGCTCTGGCGACGGTACGTATTTCCTCAGCATGGATACGTGGAATACTTTGTGAACTCAGGAGAGCGCAGGAGGTAGTGCCAAAAGGTATGCCACATCGCCTATCGCTTACTTGCGTTCAATGAATGAAGTTTGCTCTTTCGAAAATCGATTAGATAGCAATGTTACTCTGAGTTCCTGCTTCACTACAGGGGAAAGGGAAAGAAACGAAAAAAAATTAGTTAAGCAAAGCCCATGGCCTACCCCTCCTACTCTTCCATACCAGTGAAATAAGTTATTCTTTCGAATAGGCCTAACCCTTGGGGAGAGGGTTATGTTATTGGGTTATAAAGAGGGACTCCCACCTCACTCAACCATAAGGAGACATTTAGAATAGTGATTGATTATGAAGACTTTTACTAGCAAGTCAGTGCCGTGCCCTCAAGTCAAGCAAGGTACCGAGTTAGATAAAGAATTATAGGGGGTGCAAGCCCGGATACTAACTATTTCCCTTGCATTTTAAAAGCATGATTTTTACCTTCGGGGAGGGATACTTCTTTCTTTGACTTTATAGAAAACATTTATACTTGATTGAAGATATACCAAAACTCTCGTCTATTTCGATGGTATGATAGTAACTAGAGCTCCGGAGAAAATGACCATAGAATTCTTTCTTAGCCTTAGACAAAGATAACGGGAAACCAGGAACCAAGCAGGCCTCTTGGCAGGAAAACAAGCTAGATCACGTTCTCGAAATAAACCAAGTTTTTCATGTAGGATTTGGTTGGTGGTCCATTAAGGTCTTGACCCCCTAGGAACTACTCGGAAATAAGGTAAGTAAGTTAGAGAGCTCTGTCCCAATTGTTGAGGAATGGGGTCTTAAGACAGACAAGGCTTTAGTAACGAGTTTGACTAACCGAGGATGAAATTGCCACAGACCAGCATCAGCTAGCTCATGTCTTGGGCAGACTAGCTTTTACCAAGAAATAGTAAATAAAAGATTGCTTTGGTGGTAGGTGAAGTTGTAACAAAGTTCCCTTTTTCAATCAGTTCCAAGACCCCGAGGCTCGAGCCCTCAATCAGATTTTTGGGGGATCTTTGCCGTTGATCCTAGCAATGAAGAAAGGAGATCCTCAATGAACTCGACCCTTGGTGGCAGAAGATTGGTTCAAAAATGAGACCGATAAGATTATCAGCGATGCTATTATTTCTTGTAGGCTATATAAGACCAATTTTTTCCGCCCGGCATGATCAATAAGGTAAATGCCAAGAACGGTTCCAGCAGCATTCAAGCCAGCAACTATGAGAGAGAGTTGATAGTTGCCTTTTTTTCTTGCATATGTGTCATTAATCCAACCACCTATTGCTGCTCCAAGAATTGCACCTGCCACTGCCATGCTGACAATTGTTTCCTGAAGAAAATGACTTTGTCTGACGGCAGGAAAATCATCTTTAATATACAGAAGAGCTCCTGATATGACACCTAATTGATGGTGGTGTTGAAAGTTTAGTTACAGCATTCAGTTCAAATCATGAATTATAGATAGATAAAAAAGAGAAAGAAAAAACGTTCGTAGCAGTGTCGTAGCCGTAAACCAATCCACCAATGCTAGCTACATAAGTGAGTCCTAAAATGTAAGGGTTCTTGAACATAGAAACTTTTCTTTCAGGGCGTATGTCCAAATAGCCGGAGCTTCCAGGAATTGTCGGTATATTCATCGCAAGTAACTAACAACTCATTGCCTAATCATTAAACAAAAATATCAACGATGGCACAAAACTGGTTCAAGACTTTATGCAAGGCTTGCATAGGTTGGAGTAAATGCGACAACAACTAATGTGGATAATATTTAAGTGTATCATATTAATTGTATACACTAATATTTAAATGCCATGTGGATGGCAAGTAATCTAAGTGATGTTTCTTAAATATTTTTTACACCTATCAGCCAGGTGTAAATAACGGCCGAGTCGAGGAACTACTTTTGTAATTTCGGTCAGTATAAATGATAGGGCGCAAATAACAGTCATGTCAATTAATTATAACATTGCACAATAAAATAATTTATATGTTATATAATATATAACAATTTAAAGTAGTATTATTTTTGTCATTATGAGATAATTAAAATATAAATATAATAATAAAAATATGCGAGGAATGAATAGAGAAACGCGTAAAGAGATACGAGAAACTAATTTATATATATAATTGAGTTGACTCATGAATCTAACAACTCAAAGTATATATATTTTTTAAGTTCAATTCATTTAGTTAACGGATTTAATTATTTACTTGTATTCAACTTATTTGGTTCATGAGTCAAATTCAACAATTAATTTATCGAATCGAATTTTTAATAATATTCGAGTTTGTTTGGTTCATTGTCAATTATATATATTATTAAACAATGTTCATGACAATTTAGTTATATTAAATTCACATCATAAGAAACTACTAATATATTTCAAAGAGTTTGCTAAAAAAATATTGTTTACTTCAATAGTCACCTCATGGTATCCAAAATTTCTTAGTGGTTTAATTTGTTAGTAGTAATATGAATAATTTGTTAACGATTCATGATAATTCATATGAGGACAATTATAAAATGGTGTGTTTGGATTTGACATGAATGAATAATACTCTTGTGACATGTAAGAAGAAATTTGATAATACGATAGATAACTACTTTAATTACCTTCTAATGGTGCAACACAACCAAATTCACCAAATGATTGTACTACACTTGACAAGAAAGAATCATCCACGCCTAGCTCGATCTCTACTACTACTACTACTACTAGTCATATCATCATACGAGACTTGTTTCTTTCTTCGAGGTAGTAGATTTTGATCACACCAATTATATTCTTCTTCTTGAAAAACCCTTAACTCATTCTTGACAGTATTCTTAATTAACATCACCACCATTGTTGGTTACCACTGCTACTTCCCCAATTCTGCAAATTTACTATCAAAATAACAATCTTCACAAGAAAATACCTTGTGGGAGGTACAAGCAATATGAACAAGAATATTATGCTTGTCACACCAAACTTGTTGATGATGTGGTTGTCTATTATCCAATTTACAACAGTATGATGGAATGGCGGAGACAAAATTAACGCATTGGTAATCATGTGTGATAGGATGTTGAGACTTGGTACCTAACATTGTGCATTATGTTTTCTGAATATGAGTAACACACATATTTTTGAATTTGATGGCTTACCAATATATATATATAACTTTTCATGTCTTTGATGTGTGTAGTGAAAGTCACAATATTGTTTGCTCTATTAGATTCACCTTCCTTATCATTAGTGAGATTGTAGAATTTTCTTTGGATCCTTGAAAAACTAGAGCATTCATCTAGAATATATCCAAAATCTTTGCATTTAAAAACATTGGATCCAATTTAGATTTTCACCACCCATTCCTTTACGCAGAAAGTTACACCTCTTGAAATTGTGTTGCTGATTGTCTTAAATATTTGTATATACATTGTTACCAGATCTCATATATAGTTTTCTCACGACTTTACTAAAGATCATAAGAAGCCTGAGATTTTCTTCAATATCATAATCTACTTGGTCTTCATAATTGTCTTCAACTCTAATCTTCGGAGGATTCTTAATACCATAAAGAATCTTTGGTCGATGAAATGCTCCTCCTTTTTTGAAATTATCCAACTTGAATGGAATAAGAACCATGGAACACACCCAAGTAGAACAAGGTTTCGGCTCTGATACCAGTTGTAATTATATTCTTAGGAGGACAGATGTATGACACAATGTGTACGATAAGATAAACATGTAACAGAAAAAATAAAGGCAGAATAAAAATAACACATGAATTGTTAACACAATTTGGTGCAATATCACCTATGTATGAGGGGAATTTAACCCAATAAAAGAAATACACTCTCAATAGTTAAAGTATAAATAGTCTTATATGCACAAACTTTGTTCAATGCCTCTCTTCCTAATACTACCAGTGAATTTCTATTCAGGAATCCCTATAGAACGACTTCACTCTCAATAGTCAGAAGGACAAATGGGCTTACTCTGAACTCTCCCAATTCAAGGCTACTTTTATAATATTACCCGTTAATATTCGTTCAGGCTCCCCCTGAATAAGAGATCCCTCTCACTTTCACTCAAACACTCTTTATGTGTTTGGACAATTACAATATGATTGAAAAGACGGAACAACTAAGCACACACAAATACATTGTTCTGAAGCTTATATAATTAATATATAGGAATAGAGTATTACAACAAAATCTCAAAGACAAGACTCAACTAAAACTCTCTTATATAGTATATTTCTTCTCTAAAGTTCTGAGTCTTCACAAAGGAGATAAACTCCTTATAAAGCCACACAAATCCAGCTCCAAAAGCCCGTAAGGGTTTAGGTCATGCATTCAGATGGACTTCTAAAAAAACACATAAGATTAATCTTAAATGATGATGATTTTCAATCTTGATTGATCACCTTGAATAAATCTCAATCTCTTAATTATTCTGGTTGTATTTGATTCAGATCACATCCTTCAAAAACACATATAATCAATCAAATCTTTATTAGAAAGATTGAGATCCTTGATTGATACAAATTAAGCATTCCACATGCAATTTGCTAAAATAAGATATTTTCCAAATCCAAACTCAATCTAGCACACTTATATCTATGATATAATAGAAAAAGAAACAAATCATAAAAGGATAAGATATACTTCAATTTATCTTACTCTCCAAGTAACTAACCCGAGATAGATTTCTCACAGATCGTTGAACATTTGGCTTGACATTTGTCCACATATCCAAATTTTGAATCTTTAACAAATAAAATATGTATTTGATATAAACCACAATTCCAAATTCTCAAGGAATAGATTAGAATAAATCTCTTGCCAAAAACTGAATCGCACTTTAAATCATGTTTAATAGAGATTTGGGATTTTCTCATTAAATACAAATCCAAATATTTTAATTAAAACATATCTAATTCAATTTATTCATGGAATGAATTTTCAATCAATATCTTTTCATATCTAATTTCAGTCATATTCCTTTAAGTCATATTCAAATAAATCTTTTCTTCAAAGCAAATCCATTATAATCAAATCTTCTTATTTGAATAAAATATTTTTCAAATTGATTTGGACTAACAAGTTTCTTCCAAAAGCAATTGTAACACCCCGTATAATATACATCTAGAAAATACATTATACGAAATATTAATTGATACCGATACAACACAAGTGCCTAATGGCATCATTATATACATGCCCATAAGAAAATAAAATACAATATATGGCACATCACATACAATAGTGACTAAACAAAACTGAGATATACGTGCAATACACACATTGCACATAATCCACAACGGAAGATCATGATAACAAAGTCTTCAAAACATCATCAAACAAACTTGTCATTTCCTTTAACTTGTAGTTATACACTTGAAAAACAACAATAATATTGGGATGAAATAATAATCTTAGTGATTTCCCCTATCTTATAGATCCAATCGGCTCTAAAGGAATCTTTTATCGATTGCTAACTTAGGCCATTCAAAAATGTCCTATTTATGTACACTTACATAATAGAACGTGGACTTAAGCATATAAGGGAGTGTATGCTTCATATGGAAACACAAACATGAGTTCATATAACTCAAAGAATCACTATTCGGGAATGCAACTATAAAATAAGGGTGGCTAGCCCAAAATCGATTAGAAGGATCTAATCAATCATCCTCCAGATATGGTTGATGGAAAAACTAGACCTCCACCGCACGAAATATACTACCTACCATATATGGTCAATGGATACCATACATCCACTACATGGATTCTCCCTCCATCAGAAATTTTCAATGGGACCTAGACCTCTACTATGTAGAACGCATCATCTACCAGATATGGTCAATAGATACCTGAAATCTAATGTATGGATTTCACCATCAGATATTGTCAATGGGACCAAGGCCTCCAATGCGTAGAATACACTCTCTGTCAAATACGATTAACGGACACCATACCTCCACTGTATGGGTTACACTCGCGCATCATATATGGTCAATGGATACCATACTTCCACTAAAAGGAAAGCGCCAAGCCTTTTCCACGAGATATGGTCAATGGATACAGGACATCCACTATATGGATGTCATGATCCAATAGATATTGTCAATGGAGTCCAGACCTTCATAATGTGGAATACACTTAACAAAGTTACGATCATCTGTCTCAATGATTCTCTTTTTCCAGTTACTACTTGTCATACCCCAAAATTTTCCCTCCTAATTATGTTATTATTTGACTTATATTTCTCATTCATTTGCATACATCTTAACCAATTCACCATCCATTGGGTAATCATACATTCATTGAATCAATAATCATGGCATTTGATCGGTGGACAAGGTATGATCAAATGTTTCATTGGTTTAAGGTTTCACTACTTATGAGGGTTTGTTTTTCATCCATAGTTCCCTTTTGACCATGGATTAGGGTTTGCATCAGATGCATGTGATCCTCAATGAACTCTAGGGTTTCGCTACTATGTGGTTCAATGCAGTACTTTAAGGTTTCATTTGGTTTTTCATCATCATTTGAGGCCTGATACACTTGGTTACTTGGGTTGCAAGGCCAAAACCTTGGAGTTGATTCATTTGGAGTTTTGTGCAAGTTTGAAGGCTTTTGGATCAAAGCTTTGACTTTTGGTTAAATTAAATCATAGCAGGTTGACTTTTGACCAAAAGTCCACATGAAATCTTATTGGCTTTTATCTCATAGCATTCAAATTTGATGGCAAGAGTTGAAGAGTTTTTTAAATGTAAGTATTGAAACAAAATGAAAGAATTTGAAGTTCACAAGTGCAAATATGAAGGGAAAGTGTATTTCAAATCTTATTTGAAAAGGGATACAATTCATTCAAAGTCAATTACAAGTTCCACTACAAATTTCTAAAAATGGAATACATTCAAGGATGTTTAAAAACCGAATACATTCAAGGATGCAAAGTATATTACAAGTAGTTATTGCAAAAAAGAAATGGAATTACAAAGAAAATTACAAAAATTTGGCATGATTGACTTTTTGATCAACTATTGACTCTTGGGTCAACAGTTGACTATTGACTAAATACCAATGACTTTGAACTCAGACTTCTACATGACTCTCCTAAACCTATCTTTCTTCAATTCAACATCTTCTTCAAGTCTTACTCATACTCCAAGCATTCTCCACCTTTATTTATCTTTCCCAAACAAGCTACACCATATGCCTTCATGCCATTTAGCTACCAGACCTGCACCCCTGCACAAACAATACAACACCAACATATTTCAGATTCAAATCTACATCAATGATACAAACCAGACTACACTTGAAACCATTACAAGCCCAAACTAACTCAAGAAAACCAGTTACAAATCTGCATTCAATTCAAAACCATTGGAACTTAGCTTCACATACATATCCAAATAACCATTTTGACATATCATACATGCTCACATCAGTTTCCAAAGCATCCAAACTGGCACCATGTCAAACCAAAAATCAGAAATTCAAATGCTATGCAAAAAACAAATTCAAACCAAGAGAATGCCAAGTCAAATTTCCACACCTGGATCAAAGCATACATTATAATTCATCCACATCAGTAACTTTCATCCAGTATAGCACAAATTAGGTTCAACCATGTTCAGTTACTTCAGTGCAATACCGGTTGTTCTCAAAAAGCCACTCAAAGATCAAAGGCTACCCAAAATTCAACAGAAAAAGGAAACAAACCAATCCTTATAACCTATGACTGCTCTAACCAATAGAATTCAACTCTAACCAAGTTAAAGTCTATCTACTCATCCCTCTAACTATAACTAAGCATACTCATTGTCAAATTCAGAAACAAACAATTCCAACATACAAAAACAGCTCCATACCCTAAACCTCATCACTCAAGTGTCCAAGCTCTTGACATCCAAACACATACATAAAAAATCAACAATAACAATGCACCAAACTGCACTAGCCAGGTCTTATCTTCTAACCTCCTATTAACACACTAACTATCTTTTAATTTCTAATGGAACATCTTTTAACAACTCTCAACTTCAATACCATACTAACGAACACCTAGTTAACTAATTCAGCCCTTTCACCTAATGCCCTAACATCTCTTCTAACAAAATATTTAAACTACTAACATTTTCATCTTAAAACTTTCCTAGCATTATTTCTAACAGTTTTTTAACATCTTTTTACTAACCTAATTACTAACTGTTAATAGAATTGTTTACTTAACAACTAACTGGTTCTAAACTAATTAGCTAATTAACTTTAACCTAATAATCCGGTTAACATCCCAATTGAATTTCAGCTCAAAAAAACTAACTAAGAATCTAAAGGTTATTTTCACAACTTAGCAAAGTTTAGCACATTGGCCAATTCGCTACTTATCCTAACATCCCAACTTAACTAGCAAGTTAAACCAACCATTAGCTAGTAACCATTTCAAATTTCACTAACAAAAAAAATAGAACCCTTAACTAATTTTCACTTCCTAATTAACCCCTCATCTACTAATCTTTAACAGAGCTATTAGCATAATTAACTTTCTAACAGGTTAACTAACTCCAACAGATTTTTTTACTTACCGACTGTCTTTCTGCGAAACAATTCCTAGCCTCTTATTAAAGGTTACTTCCAGGATCGACTACAATAATCCTAGACTTAGTGTTTTGAGAGTTTTTGGGTTAAAAATGGTTAATATTGGACAAAAGGCAAAAGCCAAAGACAATTGCAAAGTAAAGAAAATAAATGACGAGAATAGTAATTGTTAAACGAACAACTGAAAATTGCTTGATATTTAAATGTGAAAGCATTCATACATTGTTAAGCTTGAACTCGTTTCTCTCTTAGATTCGGGTACTTTGAGTGTGTGTTGTTTAAATGTGAAGAAATGAGACCTCTAACATGAATACAAACATTTGCTTAAATAGAAATCCTAAGTATGTAACCGTCAACGGTTACTAGCCCACGTTGGACTTCGTGGAGGAAAACTGCTCTAGAACTGTTCCCACGTCTTTGTTGGCTTTGCGTGTTGATAATCGTTCCCGCCATCATGAATCCTTGCTTATCGACGACACCTATGACTAAGATAAAAAAATTATTAGTAAAAATTGGCATAATTTCATATTAACTACCTCAAATTATAAAGCATAACTGGTTTCAAGCCAAACTCTTTGAGATTGTAAAGTTTCAAATGTGTCTTGCTTATCACGAAAAAGTAATAATTACAATGACCAATATATCATATAAGTTTCCAAATGAGTATACATTTTTTTAAAACTAGAATTGAATTATAGGTGTATAACACAAATAAATGTTTCACCTGGTTGATACCTCTTATTTGATTATCAATGTTTGGTTCTAATTTGCAATTTGTGGTTTCATCCGTTGAAGTAGGCCATGGAAGTCAGAATGCAAGTACCTTAGATCAGAATTAAAAGGAAAACTTTGTGGTTCCATCAGTTGAAGTAACACATGCATTCTTAATTGAAATCGTAGATTGAGAAAATAAACTTAAAAGTAAATGAACAATCAATATATCTATTTCAAAATCAAACACTAAAATATAAAAGTAATAATTTAAAAGGAAAACTTATGGGCTCACCTGCTGCATGCAAATGAGAATGCTTGGAAATCCATCTTTTGTCATTGATGTAGGTATGGTAAATACAATTTTTCTCAATAGCTTGTTTGGCTCTATCAGTTGCTTCATAAAGAAATTGAATATTGGTTTATCGTCACCATCCACCTACTTCAATACCTTAGCAATTTATTCGAATATCTTTAGTATCTCAGTTGCCTTATTCAAAAATAATTTCTTTACCACAAGTATATTTCTTCATAAGTTTATTGTCCACCACATAGTAAATAAAAAGAGTATTAAAAAAACAAAAGGTTGCATATTAAAAAAAGCAAAAGATTTGACTCATAGCATATTTGCAACAATTCGACCTTTATTAGCTGAGTTTTATTCATAGAATAACAACATATTTAAATGGATGTAGCTTCTAGGATGATTGAGTTCAACGCTCAAGAAGGGTTTTAGTTTCAAGATTTTTACCCCATGCTCTCTCCCTCCACAACAGTTCCACTTCATCAAATGTCAATCCTTTGGTTTCTGGAACAAACAAAACCACAAACAGAAATGCAACCACGGCTATAACTGCGAGAAGCAAGAAAGTAGGACCAGTCCCGGCAGCATCTGCAATAGAAAGAAATGATTGTACCACAATCAAATTTGAAACCCAATTCACAGTAGCTGACATGCCTCCGCACATTCCTCGGTACTCTTGTGGATATATTTCAGAGTTTACTGTCCACGGCACAGGTCCCATCCCGGGCGAGAAGAAAGCCATATATAAAGCCAAACCAGAAACTGCAAGCCATCCATAGAAATCATTTTGATTTCTAGTAGTCGCAGAGGACTGGTTCAAAAATGAGACGGATAAAATTATCAGCGATGCTATTATTCCTCCTAAGCTATATAAGGCCAATTTTTTCCGCCCTGCATGATCAATAAGGTAAATGCCAAGAACGGTTCCAGCAGCATTCAAGCCGGCAACTATGAGAGAGAGTTGAAGAGCCAACTCGTTAGAGTGAAAGCCAGCCATTTGGACAATTGTTGGACTGTAGTACATCACTGTGTTTATACCTATAAATTGCTGAAAAGCCTGTTCAACCAATATGGTAGATTCTATAAGAAACCAAATCATTTACTTTCAATGGAAGGTTTATGCTTAAGCTTAACTAGCAAGGGACATTTGGTCCTTCCAATGGAAGAAAAGTTATATTTTGCATCAATAGTATCTCTAAATTAATTCTTTTACCTGTAGTCCAGCACCAGCAAGGAATGCAAGTCTGATCTCTTTTGATTTAAAAACATGCAGGACTGTGACATCATCTCTTTTTCGGCGGTCTCGTTCAGACTGAGCTGTAAGCAAAACAACTTCATCCTCTAAACGATCGGAGCCGTATATCTTACCAAGCACAATAATGGCGTCATTTTCTCTACGCTGCACATGAAGGAAAATAATTATACTGAAGCAGTGGCTTTTTAAGATAAAAATATAAGAAATGTATTACATTTATGAAGAGCCATCTGGGAGATTCAGGCAGCAAGAGCATGAGAAAAAACTGAGCTGCTGCTGGCACACCTGATACTCCCAGCATCCATCGCCATGTCCCGGGGACATTTGCAAAACCAAGATTTACTAGATAAGAAACAAACACTCCACCAGTTATCATAAGCACATTTGTGGTAACTAGTGCTCCCCTTATTTCGGATGGTGACAATTCTGCAATATAAACAGGAGCAGTAACTGAAGCAACACCAACACCAAAACCAACGAAAACACGGCCAATTATGAGAATATAAGGATCTGGTGCAGCAGCCATGACAATTGCTCCAACAACGAAGAAAACATCTGCAATGATGGTTGCCTTTTTTCTTCCATAAGTGTCATTAATCCAACCACCTATTGCTGCTCCAAGAATTGCACCAGCCACTGCCATGCTGACGATTGTTTCCTGAAGAAAATGACTTTGTCCAACGGCGGGAAAATCATCTTTAATATAGAGAAGAGCTCCTGATATAACACCTGATTTATGGTGGTGTTGAAAGTTTAGTTACAGCATTCAGTTCAATTCATGATGTATAAATAGATAAAGAGAGAGAGAGTGAGAGAAAACAGTGTACCAGTGTCGTAGCCGAAAAGCAATCCACCAATGCTAGCTACATAAGTGAGTCCTAAAATGTAAGGGTTCTTGAACATAGAAATTTTTCTTTCAGGGTGGATGTCCAAATAGCCAGAGCTTCCGGGAATTGTCGGTATTGTCATCGCAAGTAACTAACAACATATCGCCTAATCATTAAACAAAAATAGCAATGAGGGGCACAAAAGTTGAGTCCCTACACACGAATGTGGTTGAAGACTTTATGCAAGGCTTGTATAGGTCGGAGTAAATGCAACAACAACTAATGTGGATAATATTTAAGTGTATCATATTAATTGTATACACTAATATTTAAGTGCTATGGAATGATAAGTAATTCAAATGATGTTTCTTAACTATCTTATTATTATCACACACAAAAAAGGTTTAAAACGGTCGCAATCAATTAATGGGTTTCGTGATTTCAATTAGTATAGATGATGCGTTATAGTCAACGATTTTTACAATGTGAATTAATCACAACGTTACACAATAAATTTATTTGTGAGTTATGTAGTGTTGGAACAAAGGATTCAAGAAAGATGAATATTGTGAAAACAAGAAGAAGAAGAGAGAATGATGAGTTAGTTAGTGTAACTAACTCCTAACTGAATTTGTTATTACTTGCTACTTCGGTTATAAATAATGGACCTATATATAGGCAAGAAGCTCAGGCTCAAAACATGTTAAAAGCCCAAATAACAACATAACAAGAATTAACCAACTAACACAACCCCTAATTCATGTTATCAAGACTTCTCATCGCAATGCCTTTCTTTAACTCTTCGAATCTCACTTTCTTCAGAGGTTTGGTGAATATGTCAGCTAGTTGCACTTCTGTCTTGCAATATTTTATTTCAAGCTTCCCTTTGTTGACTTGATCTCTCAGAAAATGATATCTTCGTTCAATGTGTTTACTTCGACCATGACACATTGGGTGATTTGCAAGATTTATAGCTGACTTGTTATCAACATACAACTTCATCTTCGATTCCATTATTCTGAGTTCTTCAAGTAGCATTTCGATCCATGCTGCTTAGCATGTAGCATATGATGCAGCTACATATTCTGCTTCACATGATGATAAAGCAACAATGCTTTGCTTCCTCGAACTCCAAGAGATTGGAGCTCCTTCGATCATGAAAATATATCCTGCAGTACTCTTCTTTTCATCTTGATCTCCACTGGAATCTGAGTCAGTATATCCTTGCACTTCGACATCTGTACTGTTCTTCGACTTCTTTAGCAACAGCACACTATGATCAATGGTTCCATTGATGTATCTCAACACCATCTTTACTGCAATGAGATGACATTCCTGAGGCTTCTCCATAAATCTGCTCAACAATCCTACACTTTGGTAGATATCTGGTCTAGTATTGCAAAGATACCTCAAGGATTCAATGATTTGTTTGTAAAGAGTCGAACTTAGAAACTCATCATTCGATTCCTTTTTCAGCTTTGCTTCAGTCTCTAATGGAGTAACAGCTGCCTTGCAGTTTCTCATATTGAACCTCTTTAATATATCTTGAGCATACTTCATTTGATGCAAGAACGCTCCTTCTTCGACGTCTTTGAATTCCATTCCCAAGAAATATGAGAGATTCCGTAAATCATACATTTCGAGTTCCTGCATTAACTTCGACTTTACCTTCATTATCTCAGCTTCGTCTGCTCCTGTAATGAGTAAGTCATCAACATAGAGGCATAAAATGATTTGATTGATACTTTCGACATCATTTACATACACTCCATGTTCAGAGACACACTTTGTGAAACCTACTTCGATTAGGAAGCTATCTATCCTTTTATTCCAAGCTCTAGGAGCTTGATTCAAGCCATAGAGAGCCTTCCTTAATTTGTACACTTTCGACTCCTGCCCTTTGACGTTGAAACCTGCTGGTTGAGTAACATAGACTTCTTCTTCCAATGGACCATTCAAAAATGTTGACTTCACATCAAGTTGGTGCATTTTCCATCTTCTATATGCAGCTATCGAAACAACAATCCTGATTGTTTCGATCCTTGCAACAGTCGCATATACTTCATCGAAGTTAATACCAGGTTTTTGTAAAAAACCTCTGGCCATCAGTCTTGCCTTGTACTTAGCAACCTCACCATTTGGCCTTCGTTTCACCTTGTAGATCCATTTCACATCTATTAGTTTCTTGTTGGTTCTTTCGACAAGCTCCCAAGTATTGTTCTTCTTAATGGCTCTAAGTTCTTATTTCATGGCTTCACACCAATTTGAATTGCTCAAGGCTTCACCCCAAGTCAATTGGTTCTGCTTCAGCCATTATCATGGCTTCTTCGATTAAGTCACCAGCTGCATCGATTGCTTTATCTGGAAACCTCTCATATCTAGTCAGCCTAGTCGACTCAGTTCTTGTTCTTGTGGATCTTCTTTCATTCTGCACATGTGGTTCTTCATTTCGACCAGTCGAAGTATCACCTTGCTCATTTTGACTTGTCGAAGCTTCGTTCTGTTCATCTTCTTCGAACATAGTTGTGATTGTGTCTGATTCTTGTCAAACTGAACTTCAACTCCAATCCCACTCTTTGCTTTCGTCTACAAGAACATCTCTACTGATAACTAGTTTATCTTCAATTGGTGAATACAACTTGTATGCACCAGTCGAATGATAACCTATGAGCACCATGACTTCACTTCAATCATCCAACTTCTTTCTTAATTGTTCAGGTACATTCCGTAAACCTATTGATCCAAAAACTCTAAGATGAATTACATTTGGCTTCGACCCTGTCCAAGCCTCATGTGGTGTCTTTTCGACCATCTTCTTTATTGGGCATCTATTTAGAATGTATATTGCTGTCGAAGCTGCTTCAGCCCAAAATCTCAGGCATATTCTTAGCTTTCAACATACATCTTGTCATGTTCAGTACACGCGTATTCTTTCTCTCAGCTATACCATTATATTGAGGCGTATAGGGTGCAATAACCTCATGCTCTATACCTTCCTCATTGCAAAATCTAGCAAACTCAGCAAAAGTGTATTCACCACCACCACCAGTTCTTACCTTCTTCAATTTGCAGCCACTTTGTTTCTCAGCATGCAACTTGAACTTCTTGAACTGTGTAAATACCTCACTCTTCCTTTCAATAAGGTAAATCCACATATGTCTGGTGAATTCATCAATGAAAGTAAGGAAATGCCTATTACCTCCATTGGACTTTACTTTAAAGGGTCCACACACATCTGAATGAACCAGCTCTAGTTTTTGCCTTGGTCTTATAGGCAAGTCACGTTTGAATGCCTTCCTTGCCTGTTTAGCTTTGCAGCATTCCTCACATATCTGCTTTGGTTCCTTCACATACGGCAACCCAAGCATCATTCTTTTCTGATTGAGCATACACAAACTCTTGAAGTTTAGATGTCCATACCTGTGATCCCATAGGCAGTTCTTGTCTTCTTCTGTAGTGAAGTAAGACATTTGTTATATGATGTGTTGAGTTCGACTTTGAAGGTTTTGTTCTCTGCCAATGGTGCTTTCATGATTAGCCTCCCATCAGTCATATATACCTTTATCTGATTATTCTCCAACTTCATATTGAAGCCTTTTGTAAGTAATTGACCCACACTTATCAAGTTACTTGTCATCGAAGGTACATACAGAACTTTAGTGGTAGTAGCCTTTCGACCATCCTTTTTGATAATCAAAATATCTCCTTTACCACCTGATTTGATATGCCTGTCATCTGCAAACTTTATCACCTTTTCGACTGACTCATCTAACTTGGTAAACCAGTTTTTATTGTCAGTCATGCGGTTGCTACATCCTGAATCCAGATGTCACATGTTGTTCGTCTCAGTGTTCGACTGAGTGTTCACCAGCAACAACACATCATCAGAATCACTACTTCTAGCTCGTGCATATTGAGCTTCATCACTATCTTTCGACTTCGCAGCTTTCTTTCTTCGACAGTCTCTAGCATAGTGGCTAAAACCTTGACAATTGTAACATTGCACCTCTTTTATATCAACTTTCTTCCCATAATACTTGTTGCCCACACCTTTCGAATCAGTATTCTTGCTTGACTTCTCATCACCAGCAAGATTCTTTCACTACTTCGACTTCTCTTTTCCAGCTTTCTTGTTGAATCTTGATTGCAATGTTTGTTCAGTTGTCTTCTCTCTTTCTGAGTTTTTTTGCTGCAGCCTCATTTCATGAGCCTCCAAAGAAGCTTGAAGTTCCTCCAACTTCATCTCAGATAGATTCTTGGACTCTTCGATTGTTACAATAAAGTAATCAAAATCTGCAATTAGAGATCTCAATATTTTTTCTATCTTTTGCAAATTTGTTAGGGCTTCACCGCACACCTTCATCTGGTTTGTTAGCGTCACTACTCTTGAGAAATATGCAGAAACAAATTCATCCTCTTTTATCTGCAGCATCTCATACTACTTTCTCAGAGTCTGCAACTTAACTTTCTTCAATTTCTAATCTCCACCATACAAGGATTTCAGCTTTTCCCAAGCTCCTTTTGATGTTTCTTCTTCGATTATCTTCTCAAATACATCACAATCCACACACTGGTGAATCAAGAATAGCGCTTTGCCATCTTTCTTCCTCTGATCTCTGTGTGCAGCTTTCTGGGCTTCTGTTGCATCTACCTCCAGTTCTGATATTCCATCATTCAAGATTTCTACAACATCTTGAAATCTGAAAATAACATTCTTTTGTGCCACCCATCTTTGATAGTTTTCACCTCTGAAAACCGATAGATTTGCTGGAATTTGTATTGATGTTGTTGATCTATTTGCCATTAGAATCTCTCTGAATCGCAAACAAGCTCTGATACCAATTTGTTGGAATAAAGGATTCAAGAAAGATGAATATTGTGAAAACAAGAAGGAGAGAGAGAGAGAGAGAGAGAGAGAGAGAGAGAGAGAGAGAGAGAGAGAGAGAGAGAGAGAGAGAGAGAGAGAGAGAGAGAGAATGATGAATTAGTTAGTGTAACTAACTCCTAACTGAATTTATTATTACTTGCTATTTAGATTATAAATAATGACCATATACATAGGCAAGATGCCCAGATCCAAAACATACTAAAAGCTCAGATAACAACATATCAAAAATTAATCAATTAACAATGTAGCATATA